AAGCTCCTGACAGAGCAGTAGGCTCTTCTTTTCCAGAAATCAGCTTCTTGTATGTGCCTACACAGGGCAAAATTATTTGCCAGAGGCAGAAAAACAAAGAGTAAACTGACTGAATAATATCCCTGACCTATGCTGTTGACATTATAAAGAGCTGTTTCTATTAGTGTGTTCTTTGAGACAACTCTCCATTATCCTTTCCTGTAAAAAGGGAGATATTGCTCTCAGAAGCATGATAAGTAACCAACATTAATTCACTGTATTCAGTGTTTAAAGGGAGAACAAGTGATATCTTGGCCATAGAATTTGCTTCTTCCATTTTCCATTTTCCTGGTCCAGAGTAGTAATGCTGCAGGGAACTGGAATTTGCTCATTGCACTGACAACACAGAGATTTAAATGGCTGATACTGTTCTGTTTTGTTTTAAATGAATACAGCATAATTCCAGAGAACAAAAGCAGAAAAAAAAATCAACTAAGTGTTTAACTGTATAACATTATATGCAAATGAATACCAGATATGGACAGCATAAGTTAATATAACTGTGAACGTTCTATTGGCTCCTCTTGCAGCACAGGGCAACCCAGGCCAAGCAGTCAGCATCAAATTTGGGAACACTTGGGCTTACTTAACCTTTCCATGTGGCTCAGGCCCAAGACCACCAGAATCAGTTACTCAGCTCAGGTTTGTTTTAACTCGGTAATGGTCAGAATAAACTTCAAAACCAGACTCCTAAAATATAAAGCTGCTGTTTTCCAATGATAGCTGAAAAAAAAAAAAAATCTCAAGTATTCCTGAAAAAGCAAATCAGTAGTCTGATCTATATTAAGACCAAGTGAAAACTGCAGGGTTTTCTGTGTAGCTTAGCCAGCATTAAATCAGTAGGAAAGAACACTGTTCCTGTGCAGAGACTGAAAGTTAACCCCTCTTTACTTCCTTTCACCAACTGAAAACAGGAAGAATGTCAACAGTAGCTGACACTGCTTACAAAAACACCTTTTCTCCTAGTATCCTGGTCCTACTTAAGACTTCACTATTTAAGAGTAACTGTAAATCAGCAATACTAAAATTCTTTTTCTTCAATGACAGACAAGAAGCAGCAACTGACAAAGGTTCTTGTAGCTATCTATGTTTCCAAAAACATTAAAATGTTATGTCATTCTAGACTCCTGTAAACTTAAGATGTTTCAGTAGTTTATTTCCTAAAAGTGGTTGGGAGTTCTGTCAAATCTGCAAAGCATGTTATACACAAAACAGAGGTTTAATGAGCGTGATGGTTCTGAATGAAAAAACAGCAAGAGGGCAAACAGGGTTACAGTAAACTATGGTCACCAAAAAGGGACACAAAAGAAGTCACACAGTAAATAAGGCGCATTGAGCCATACAGTTCATTTCTGACCTATATTTAAAATTTCTTTTTTTCAATAATTCTCATCTAAACTTCCACATTGAAGTCTAATATTCTTTGGATAAACCACTTTAAGGCCATTATAAAAATTATATAACAATTGTAAAAAGCTAAATGTTTCCCAATAATGCCTTAGACTTTATCTATAATGATTCAATTCATAATAGTTACTAGCAATAACTACAACTCACTAAATCATCCAATTATCTGAATTTCCTACTAAAGAGCTAAACTTTTTATGAATATTTCTTCATTTCAAATCTTGCCCCCAGCATTTTTTCCATGCCACAAAAGAAGACAACATACCTTTGAAGAATCTGAACTTTTCATATATGGTTCAGCACAATGTGCAATACTTCCCTGTAATACTTTTTCTATTCTAGCCACTAGGAAAATATCAGTATGAGGACACGTGACTGAGAATATTCCCTAGGAAAGAAAACACAAACAAAAAAACCAACAAGAGATAAATATAAAGGAAAAATGCACACAGATTTCAGATTATATGATTGAAAGACATCTGAAGCATGCAGGAAAAGTCTCTACCTCTATCAAAATGCTACTAATTCTTTAGGTTACTAGTTCTTACCTGCTTTGGATATTGTAACACAGTTTCATGAATGTCTTGGATTCTGTGTAAGCTGTCACCACTGCCATTCATCATCTGTTGAGATGCACTGGATATCATGTGCCTTACTGAAGCATGGTTCAAATCAACATGGAAATCTGCCGAAATCTTTCGGTTGTTTTTAATATCAAAGAGTGACAACGTGACAAAGAAAGGTTCTACCTAGACATTTGAAAAAAGAATCAAGTGTCACTGTGGGCATCTGTGTTACTGTAAAAATGTGTATGAAAGGAACATAAGTAACACTTTTATGAGTAGTTACACATGGCTATCACTCCAGATACTACTGACAAGATGTAAAAGAAAAATTCCACTTTCTACAACATAACAAAAGGATAGTAGCAAAGTTATTTCTTAAAGGATTGAGAATCTCATTTTGATTTAAAGGAGTAGGAAAAATGCCACAATATGTTTTGCAATCGCAGCAAGGAATTCTTGCCGTTAAGAATAATGCCAACAAAATATTAAGACCTTCATTACAATTAACATAAAATAATTAGATTATTATTTACATTTGTCGTTGGTCCTTCTTCATTTTCCGCAATGCAACTTTGCAAATTAAAAGATAAATCGTTACACTTGACAAGAATTTTTTTTCCAAATTTCTCTTCAAATGGTTTCAGTTCTGGTTCAATACCAGAAAAGTCAAGTTTCTTTAAAAAGAGAAAAAAAGAGAAATAACCATTAAGTTAAGTTGTTTCTCATTTCAAAAGGATCAACATAAAAGAAAATAACATGCTTGCTTGTAAAAAAGTCTAACCTGTGCATCTGGATCCAAGGCAAAAAGTTTAACTCTGCTTTCACTTTTCAGCTTGATTTCTGCCTCTCTGGTACTCTGTTAAAGTAAGAAAAAAGTCTCAGTATCACACTATTAAAAGAAAGTAGTTTTCAATTCTGTTTCTTTTTCTGTGGTGTTCAAAAGTTTACACTGTTTCAATTCATGGACGCTTCTCCCCCTAACTGAGCTTTGCAACTCCCTAGTTTAAATCACTCCATCATGTTTGAGTAAAAGACTGTGAGAAGGCTACTCTCTTCTAAAGGCTTTTCCAGGCCTCAAAACACAAAAAACCTTCCAAGCTCCTGGGAAGTAAATTCCAGTGTAGCTCATACAGCACATTGCCTCCTTGAATAATAAAGAACTTTCATAACAGTATTTTATTATACAACAAAAATGAAGTATGAGTGTAGGTTAGAGCTCAGAGCTATCCTGAGACCATAAGATTGCTCAGGAAACAACAGGTTACCTAAATTAACACACACCATCAGAGCTCTTTTTCTTGGTTTGTTTTGGGACTGGTTGTTGTTGGTTTTTGGGTTTTTTGTTTTTTTTTTTTCCTTTCTTTCCTTTTCTTGAGCTCTACTGCCAAAGAAGTGGTTTTCCTGTGGGTAGATGGAAAAACCCCTAAAACCTCCAGAAGACAAAACCCTCACACTTAGAAGTACACTGTACACTGATCCTGCCTGGGATTTGTGGATACCTACCTATTGACAGCAAAACAAAAGTAAAGTGGAACAAAATAGAATGTGAAAACTGGTGGTATGCATAGGTTACTTTTTCTGAAAAAGGTATTATTTAAAGAGTGTTCTATGATTTTTAAAGTCACAGGACAGAACAAATGCACATATGCATGCACCAAAATTAGCCATGTAGGAGAGTTGCCATTCCCAAAGTAGTAGCTAGCTAAACAGGGATACAGAGTATTACATTACAGACAGGTGTCTAATTTTGGATCAGCCCATACAGGTTAAAAGAAGATACCAACCCAAAATGCCCATCACTGACCACCAGCTGGAACTGATTTACTGTCTACATCTGCTTTGCTGGAGGTTGAAGAAACTCCTGCTATGTCTTAAGAAAACAAAACAAAACAAAAACTCTAAGAGCTCAAAATCCTATTTTAGGTTAATAATAATAATAAAAAAGATTTTGACTTAAAGGATGTATTACAGAAGAGGAACTCCTGAGATGTGATTTTGAGTGTAGATGCTCTAATGGATTTCATTCTCTTACTTTGTTGTCTTTAACACACAGAGGAGGAAAGAGGAGTTGCTGTGGAAGCCACCACCCTGACAGTGGCTACCAGCAGCATATTGGCAGACTCTGTGTGTTCAACAGCTGCTAGGATTGAGAAATAAAGGACTTAACTCTGAACAAGTTTAAAGATGGCAAGAAGGTTGCATGTACATTTTAGAAAGGGCAGAGCCAGTGGCAAGAACTGAAGAGGAAGATGATGTAGTCACAGGAAGAAGACAAAGTGTTTCAGCTAAAAGATCTTGAATAAGTTTATATTCTTCAGTGGTTTGCACACTAAAGACAAGTCAAAAATATGCATTTTTGACTGACAGATCAGGGCCAGTCGGTCAGAAGTCAGGAACTGAAAATGTATGTGGTCATCAACCCTGTCTACAGTATAGCAGTGACTCTGTAATTCCATTTCCTCATCAGCAAAACAGGGACAATGTTTTCCTACCTTGAGGAATACTGGGGCTCATAACGTTTAAGGAGGTGCTTGTGCAGACTGATCATAGCAGTCACATTATTTAAGGTAGAGGTCTAATTTGGTTTCTCTGAAGATTAAAAAAACAACCAACGAACAAAAAACCCCACAAAACCCTACGTTCACTCCAGGTACTTAAGTTACAGGTGTAACATGAAATAGGCATGACAGACATTGAGATGTAGGTGCACTTCTGTGCACTGAAGCACACAGCACCATCTTATTTAGTTTATGTTAGAAATTAACAGCTGTTCATAGAAAAATGAAGGCTTAAAGGTGTACTCACAAGGGTTAAACCCTTCCTTGGAAGACTGTTTTGTCCCCTATTGCCAGGTGCTCTGCAATCACCCCTGAAGGAATTTCTCTTTCCTCATAAGGATATGAGGTCAGCTATTCTGAAAATCTCATCCTAGAACTAACAAAAAATAATAGAGCAACTATAAACTCTTCTAAAAGAAGGCTCAATGCCTTGTAAAGTCTTCCACTGGGGAAATAAAGAATGAAACCCAAACAACAGCTGAAAAGGCAATGCAGAAAGGAACAGAGGGGAAAGAAAAACCTCAAAACAAACAGCATTTATATAAAGCAATCAAGTTAAAGACACAAACTGTGTGAATGGAAGTGGGCCAATTTTTCCATATACTTTTCCACATAGAAAAAGAGGCTAGAAAAATACATTAGAGCAAATTATTTTGAAACGTAGTAAAGATGAATTAGAAGGGGAAAATGTAAAAACCATGTGCTTAAAATGCTGAGAAAAATAACACACAAAAAAACCCCTAAAGAACTGCTTGCTTCCAATCAGCAGGTTATGGAATCAGGGAGCAGCATTTGTAGCACTAAAACTATATGCAGGTGCTGCAGCCCTGAATAAAAGTCAAAAGTTCCCTCTGGAAGTCATATGGAACGTAAGCATTCCAGTAACTCTGACTATAAAGAAAGAAAAACCTTACTTACAATAAGAGCATCTAATTCTATACTTGCTTCTGAAAGAACTATTCAGACCCTCATGTAAGTATGCTGTTTGATGCTTACAGCTCGCCCAAGGAAAACCTCATTCATTGTATGCACCACAATCCAAATTAATTTCCAAATACAGCCGTAGCTAGAGTTGGATTATCACATAATAGCTTCTTGTGTACATGTGCTAAATTGATTACAAGGCAGTAACAGAAAAAATTAAATCAGCCAACCAATTTAGGTGCTAAAAGCCTGTTAATGTATTCTGACTGGATCTTTTGATATGCTAGCTGTTGTAATAAACAGAATTTGTTTTACTACTTGTTCTCCATTTATAAGCTGCAATTCCTTCAGGAGTAGTTACTAGGTAACTACTTTCCTCAGAAAAGAAGGGAAGAACATTCCAGAGCATGGTCAAGCAGGAAAGTTTCAAGACTGAAGGCTATGCTACACAGAAGAAAGAGTAAGGAAGTCACAGGAATAAGGTTGGATTCCGCAACTTCAGTAGAGGGCCACCAGCTCCAGTCCTTATGTGAATTAACAAAAATTTCTCCCTTCGAGAGCTCTCAAAACTTACTGCAACACACACACAAGTTGCTGATTTAACAGAAATAATGTCTGCAAATGGGCTGAGGAAGAGCTACTGTTACTATGTCAACACAGGAACCACCCATGAACTTGCCAGCTCACTACAAACACAAGCATCTTAAAATACTTTTGCATCATCACTACCATTAAGCTCCACTGCCTTCTAACTATCAAAATAAAACTTGACTATAGTGTAACTAGATTTCTACAGAGATACTTTAGCACTTGCCTGCAAGCAATAATGCAATACAAAAAAATGCAGACTACAGTAAATTAATGTAAGAATAAAACAAACTGCTTTTAAACAGCATGTCACGATTTATATTACCACCTTTAAGACAATAGCTGATTTGCTTCCAAAAGCAGAAAATGAAGCTCAATAACCATGTTTATTCACAAAAGAACTTCTGAGCTTTCAAAGCACCACAATCTGACTGGAAGCTAGAAGCCAATACCTTACCTTTATTGACAGTTCATGTGGCTAAGTTATGGTTAGTACTTTATATGCTGAGTTGGCATTTACAGTATACATTACCTTGGCAATTTCAGGATAGTAGTTATCAAAACTACTTGATGAGCTTTCCAGTTTGCTTTGTTCATCATCTGAAATTATAAAACCACATTAGAAAAAAAAAATTAAAAACCAAACAAAAAATACAGAACTACTCACAAAACGCTAGTAAAAATATTTCTGATTTTTAATTTTTATTTTAACTACTACTCCCTCAAAAATGACAATTGTTAACATAAACAGGTTGTTGACAATTCTATCATTTCACTTTGATGCAGTGTCTTCTTGGAGGATGGAACCAGTTACATAAATTAGTAAAGTTGCAGTTATCTCTAATCTTACATGGAAAATAGTTTGAATACACGTTTTGATATCTGCACGGGGAAAGAGGATACTCAGTGCAAAAATTTACATTACTCTTTCCACTATGCACTGTAACTTGATGTCAAAACAATTTCTCTCTGTTCATTAGGTTCCCAGTTCTGCTTTCTAGTGGTTACTGGAGTTACACAGCAACCATTCAGCCAGCTATAAGCATTTCATATTCTAAGGTAAACTGAGGACCACTGACTAAAACGTCAGCTACAGGCTTCTCATTTTTCCCACTTGTTTCAGTTGCAAACATGTTAAATTCTGGCAATCTTCACCAAAGACTATGATACCTCATTTTAAAACCTTTGATAAGCTCATCCAGATTCTTCTGGATACGTATACACTTAGTATCACAACAGTTTCCCTCCTCATCCACTCTCAACATTGAAAATGCACAAGAGGACATCCAGACTAACCTTTTGTCACCAAACTATTGATTATACCTACATCAGATTATCAGCCTTACTTATTCTTAAAGAGTTCCAACATAAAAGATTCTATACCCAAGCAGTCTATTTCAGTAATTTAGGGAAACGTTTGTGGTCAAACATCTAAATTTAAAGTCCCTCATTGATACCACAATTTCTTATTCTTCTACCTTCAGTGGCCACAGAACAGATTATTGCATTTTTAGCAGCATTTTACACATCTCAAAACAAGTTCCTCCTAAGTTCTTTTTTCCTTAAACAGTCTCAGTCCTCATTTTTCATTGTAGGTTCTATTTTTCTAGGCTTCTGATCAGTCTCATTATTCTTTTCTGGACCTAACTCAACTGGAATCAATACAGAACAGTGCTATTTTAAATGCAAAATGTCAACACTCTCATCTGTTCAAACAGAGTGACAAGGTCTACAATTTTTATGACCAAAATCCAAAAAAAAATTAGCCACAGTAAAACCTTGATTTCCAAATGCATGTATGTAAACGTTGCCACATGACTGTATTAGCATTGCTAGAAACCCTGCTTACCTTCATGAGACTCCCCATTTCTTTTTTCTTGCATTGCAGCCTCAAAGTTAAGCTGAAGGATTTTATTCAGAGTGTTTATCCATTCTTCCATTTCAAGTTCACTATCTGCAGCTAGAAGGTAACTACTCTTGTCTTGCATCTTGAGCTCAAATGCAAAACGTCTGACTTTATTATTCTACAAGGGAAAAAACCAGATCTTTATACTATCTTTACAGACATCCTACTCACAAAAGAAGTTTATGTATTACAGATCTTTTAACAAAAAAATACACTGATATTTTGAATAAGTGTATTTTAATTACCCTTTTTCCTCTCTGACATTTGACCTTCTGAAGTTACTCAGAGCACTGCAACAAGTGTTATGAAAGGTAACAGCCCATTTCTCAGTTTCCCCTCATCATTCTGCTTGCCATCATTTTTTAAAAAACAAAAATCCCATTTCAAAATATTAAGTCTTTACATACTTGGATCATCTAGAACTGAAGCTAACTGAGATCTACTGACTTTAATAACTATTAAATTTTATTATTATTTGAATGATAATCACTTGCATGCTGAGATTTTATACTGAAGGTTAAATCATGACCAACCTCAACCCTGAATGCCCTGATAGTGTTAGCCCTTTAAACTTACATGAAGTTGGGAATCAATTCCTCCTTTGCTCCTCAACCATTATGGTCATCCTATTTGCAAAATTTAAATCAAGGCTTCAAATGCTACCTAGCTTAACTCACGCCCCTGGGAATGGATTCACCAGTCTTAAAAAAAATAATTCTATATTATCATCCATTTAATTTTAAAAAATGATAATTCATTAGATAAAACATTAAAATAAACAGTGAGACAGACTTAATGGTTGAGAGACTTTTTTCCTTATTTGAAGTTAAATTAAATGCCAAATTACATTTTAGTTTCCGTATAGCTCAGATTTTTAAATTAAGAGTGACTCCTGGTTGGCAAAACAGCTTTTTCTCAAAGTTGAGTTTCTGCTAAGGAAGATACAAATAAATGTATGGAGACCAGATCTAAGGCAGCCTTACCAATTAAAATCAGTACTGAAATAAATGAAAAATCTTAGCAACAGTAACCTTTAACTTTCACAGTATAAAACCTTGACACAGCTGGTACCTGTCACACTTTGCAGTTTTCACAGATCACTGAATTAGAGCCTGTGTGACTGTATGTGTGAATATATGCACTGCATGTGTTATGTGACTGCACTGCTCTGTAATGCAGAAAAGTCTCAATACATTTCAACGTTAAGACAAACAGAAAAAAATCCGACAACAGACCCCAAATATTAAACAGTATTTTGGGAATTCCTGTCTTTTAATTTAAGATTTTTAAAGGGGGTGGGGTGCAGTGTGCAAGCTGGGGTGAGACAGACACTGGTGGGACGATACATGGATGCATTCCCCTTTGCTGCAGCGCCTTTCTTTTCTTTTGCAACTTTTGAAAATCTCAATATTTTCTGATGACATAGACTAATATTGTAGTGCCCACAACAGTCTGTGCCACAGCCACAGGCTGCAAACCAAAACTGAGCCACCATCTAAGTGTGAAACAAAAGGGGCTAGGAGCAGCCCAGGAGATGGAGAGTTCACGCTGCCAGAGGGATGCCGAGGCTGAGGAGCAAAAGGTAAGAAACATTTTAAGTGCAAGATAAGGACTACAATTGTGTTTAGGAACCACTTCTTTTTTCTTAATGGTTGGTTTGAAAAACTCAAAAGCAAGCTCCTTTCAGTTGAGTTGCCTAGAATTGTATACCTAAGGCAAAACACTGTGTAAATCTGTATATAGAACTTGCAATATCATTAAGCTTATTACAGTTATATGACTTTCCAGGCAAAGTACCTATTAAATGTGTGTCCAAAAACATTATTACTTTATTTGGAAAAACATAATCCTCTATAAAGCTGTTTTATCTCTCCGTATAAACCTTCAAACAACTTCATACTCAAAATATTATTTAATAAATACATTTTTATTAAAACTTTGCCGATTTCTGTCCAAGATAATTTTTTTCCAGGTATGCTGTGCCTAACAAAACAGTTGCATGCTGTACTATAAATATATAACAGAATCACAAGGAAGAAAAAAGTAATTTAAAAAACCCTTTCTTTTTGGCATTTGCTACTGACAAAACATTTTACCAAAGCCTTTAACTTTCTAAAATAAAGGGACATACAAGTAACATTATAAAGGTCAAATGAAAGCATCTGGAAGGGTGATCGAATTTAATACAATTCCCACAACACAAATCCCACACAGGAAGCTATGCAAAACATTTTACAGCTCATATAAGCACAAAAAAGTAACTAAAATGAACTGTGATTTTGTGCTGTCAGTACTTTGCCATGATTTAAGATTGAGAGGTTTTGTGAGTTTGCCTTAAAATCATTCGGTGTTTTTGGTAAATATTTGACATCAACTAGTAACTTATGTTCTTTTCATAAAGACTTTTAAAATTCAGTTTCCTGCCCTTTAAAATCTTGTTCACTCTTTTTGCAAGATGCAGCATGTCTAATAGTTCCTTTGCATAATAGGCACTCACAACTGAAAAAAAAATCTGTATTTAAAAAGAAGGCAAAACATCTGCTATTAAATACAGAATTAACTGAAGAACAGACAGGATAATTATAATTACCTGAACCACTCCCATGCATGAATCTAGAAATATTGATCCTTTAGGTTCTTTTGATATTTTTTCATCTTTGTAGAAATTGAGATTATAGGATCCATCACCAAGTTGGATTAAGTGGAAAAATCTTCTTTTAAATGACTAGTGAAAAGAAAGATGGGAATTAAAAGAATTAGAATATTAATCAGCTTTATAAGACCCATAAGTGCTATCTACACAGCTGGTAATAGGAAAAAGCTTTTATTTATGCATAACCTAATCAGTATCCTCAGAAAACCAAACAGAAATCATTATTTAAAACAAAACAAAACTTAAAGACCTCCAACAATACTGTACTATTTGATGGTATTTATGACCCATTGAAAGGTATTTAAACCAGACTGCAATATTAGATATTTATTGCAATAACTGTGAAAATAGCTTGCTTTTTTCTAAATAGAGGCAATACAAATAAAAGCTCATATTAACTAGTCTTTTTTCTGCTACTAACACACTAAGGTCCAGTTAAGAAAATTATTTAAAACATTAGCCTTCTAATGCATTTTTTTTTTTCTGATTTAACTAAGGAAAAAAAAGGAAAGTAAGACTTTGCAGCTGTAAATTACATATAGGACTCCCTCTTTCATCACACACTAATTTTTTCCTTAGATGTAAACCACACCAAAGTTGACTTTTCAAAGGCAGAGTGATATTTAAAATTGGTGTTCAGTTTGTACACGCATAGCACATTCTTAAACTTACTCTCATTGTCACACTGATTGCACTATTCATGTTGCCTTTGTACAGCCATCCTTGTTTTGTTATTCCACCCTTCTGAGACCCAAGAGACGCTGCATCCTGGAGATGAGACAGACACATGTGGAAAAAACAAGAGGTAAAGTTTTGCATCACAGTCTGAAATCGTTGTATTTATTGAAAATTTCAGAAGTAGTTTTTAAAAGATGGAAAAGCTATGCATATTACATAATGATAACAATGTACAGCAAGTCCCTGCTGAAATTCTATAGCTTTCTAATTGCAATTATTTTATTTAAAGATCAGGGATAAGATTGATTTCATCTACCTTTTAATAGGTGACCTGGTCACCTATATAGACTTTCTCTATGCCCAGCAGGATGATCCAACTTCTAGACAGCTTAAACATTAGCCAAGATATATCTCATTGAAACAGGGGAAAGAGGGAAAACTGAAAACTCAAAACATTTCCTTACATTTATGCTGTAAGTTTTTTCATATATTCTCATCTTCCAGTGGAAGAATTTTTACCAGTTTCTACTACCAAGAACAACGTAAACTTGTGCTTGTCCAAAACTTCTGTTGAGATTTCTCAAACCATTTTTACTTTATGTTTATTACTTCAAAGACATTACTTCAGAATTTACAGAGAACTAAGTCTTCGAGTCTTGAATTAGACCTGTCCTTTCACAGATCAGAATCAAAGCTTGCTAAAGAGAACAGGACCAAACTTGGCAGTAATGGCAAGTTCACAAACAGCAGATGCAATGCATGCATCATGCACCACCACCCACTGCCTGTATGCCACTTCCATCTGCAGCTGGTGGAACTTACTAACTACATCAAAACCCAGTGGACGTTAACAAATACCAAAAAGAAGTACCCTATTACCAACACCAATCAAAATGACAGATTTAGAACTGCCATAGAATAAATATTAAATCACCAGTTCAAGTAATGTTTTAGCTCAGTATCAAGCTGACTTCACCACTATTTCCAGTTGATACAACTCATTTTGACCAAAAAAAGAAGCCATTAATGAACTAGACCTATACGAAGATTTTCAGCCATCTAGAAGTGAAATAATCCTGTTAATTTATTATCCAAACATTCAAAATCAGCTGATCATCCAGCTGAAAGCAAAACCACAAAAAACTTCCTCAAGTGCCTCAACTACTTCTTCTAATTCCCTTTCTCAGCTATTAATATGCAACAAAAAAGTGACTCTGTCTCCCATAGGTAATCATTAGTGCCACAAGTGAATATTAAAACCAAATCTTGGAATAATTTTAATTACTTTCTGGAATTAAATCAAGAAATATTTTGTAAAAAGTTACTAAGTAATTTTTCTACAGCTTATTTAGTCTGTTTAGCTTGCATATTCATATGCACATGTGAACTTCAAAAAACTGCAAACAAACAGAAGACCAAAGATAGATCAGCCTGTTCCTTCAAAAATTCTAGTCAGCTTGATACTGTGGAAGTTAGGTCCACTAAGGATGACACGGTCATCAACTATCAGAGCACCTGAAATAGCCCCCCAGGAGCACAGATCAGAAATACTCTGTGACTTTTCATATGCCCCAATGAGTCTCACTGTCTGAGCAATACAGTCTACTTCATATTTTCATGTCATTAGCCTCCACTCCTGTTCTATTTTTTAGACAACCATTTTTTCTGAACAGCAATCAAGCTACAGAGACAACAACTTAAAAAAGTAGGTTTCTGACTGTGATTCCCCACAGGTGGAAGTTATACCCAAGGAAAGGATGGTTTAAAACCACCTATACAAGTTTAAGATGAGACTCTTAATTAAGACGCTTTTTTTCCAAATCAAAGTCTCTCTGATGTGCACCATTTCCCAAACGTGTTGAACTGCATGATGTTTCCTGCAATAAAACTGTCATTTGGTCCTCTCTAGTTAAAGTGCTTCTTTCTGTCAGACAGAATTCCTGGCTCCAGAGACAAAAAGCTACTGAATCTTTCCAGCTTACCACCTGTCAATACAAAGGAACCCAGAACTCAGTTGTTAACACATGGCTTTTACACTGGAAATGTACTTCCTGTTTCCAACTGGCAAGTTAATTTCCTCACTTTTATTATTACTGCTGCACACTGTGCTTCACTTTTTTTTTAAAATGATCTTTCCCACAAACTCAGCTCCAAAATTTATTTCAACAACAATGTTTCAACAACAACAATTCCTTATCTTAACCCCACACCCCAGGCTGATCTAAAAATTCCACTTAGAAACGTCAACCTGATTGTCTGATAGACCAAATTAGTTTTGGAAAGGTAATTCTCTCCTTTCTAATGATGCAAGATTAAACTAATCTTTATCTGGTTTTCTTCCAAATTCTATCACTTGCAGCACTTTATTTTCTAGTATTCTCTTAAAAAAAAAAAAAAACAAAAAAACACACCACAACAAACAACCGTGAAACAAAAGAAAAGCAAATTTTAATCTAAGCTTTGCATCTATGCCACAACAGCCCCATGCAATGCTACAGGCTTGCAGAAGAGTGGCTGGAAAGCTCTCCCAGCAGAAAAGGACCGGGGGGCTCAGCAGCAGCTGAACATGAGCCAGCAGTGTGGCCAGGAGACCAAGAAGGCCAGTAGCACCATGGCTTGTATCAGAAATGGCGTGGCCAGCAGGACTGGGGGAGTGATCACACCCCTGCACCCAGCGCTGGTGAGGCCACACCTCGAGTACTGTGTTCAGTACTGGGCTTCTCACCACAGGGACACTGAGGTGCTGGGGCAGGTCCAAAGAAGGGCAACAAAAGCAGTGAAGGGTCTAGAGAACAAGTCTTAGGAGTGGCTGAGGGAACTGGGGTTGTTGAGCCTGAAGAAAAGGAGGCTCAGGGGAGACCTCACTCTCTACAACTCCCTTAAAAGAGGTTGTAGTAAGGTGGGGGTTGGTCTCTTCTCACAAATAACAAGTGATGGGAAAAGAGGACAACCACAAGAGGGCTAGGTTGGATATTAGGAAAACTTTCTTCCCTGCAAGGGCTGTAAAGCCCTGAAAGAGGCTGCCCAGGGAAGTGCCAGAGTCACCATCCCTGGACGTATTTAAAAGACCCATAGATGTGGCACTTAAGGACACAGTTTAGTGGTGACCTGGCAGTGCCAGGTTAATGGTTGGACTTGATTTTGAAGGTCTCTTCTAACCAGAACAATTCTATACATGTTTTTTGGCATACAAAGACATTAATGTTTAAAAGAAAAAACCTCTTGTACTAATTCTTCCCTTGAAGAAAGAATTTATGGTGCCCTACCCCACTCCCATCAAGCTCCCATTTCTAGCTTGCTTTCTTCTGGTGTTTAGACTTTCAGTTCCTCAGAGTAACAGATTTGTTCTCCAGTGACTGTACCTCCGAAAGAGATACAATGTTCTTGCCTGCTGGAATAGGAATCTGGGCACAAGGAAACAGGAGGTCCTTCCCACTTATACCTCCTGGCAAAAAAACCATAACTCCTGACAATAGCCAAGCTATGGTTTTCAGTGTTTAACTCTAGCCATAATTATTTTCCCTTGTAACTATCACAGTCAATGATAGCTTCATTTAACTTTTTTTCATGTTTAACTCCTCTTGTCAGAAATATCATCACAGTAAATAATGCCAAGTCTTCTTAATTTCAGTATAATGGAAAACATTATTTCCACCTTACAAATAGGAAGATTTAGATACAGATGCATATTTGTCCAATTATCACAGCATAGATTAATAGCAGCACTGGAGAGTCAGCATGTATTTTGGGATCTACCTATTCAGATGCACTCCCTGGACTATTTTTTCCTGTTTAATCAGGAAAACTTGTAAGGAAGTACTTTTATTTCATATGCAGGGGTTCTGAATATAAAACAAGGAATTTAGAAGCAAAGTGATTGTAAAAGAGTAAAAAAAAAAAAAAAAAAGGCCTTTTATTTTAATTCTTTTTGATGATGCAAGAGTTCAAGTACTTGTAAGAAAAGAAAACATTGCCATGTAAACACTGTTTTGAAACAGGGTGTGGTAAAAATTAAACAAATCACACAAATAACAGAAGCAATTACTGAAAGAAGTACTTGGCATTTGAAATATACTTGACAACTGCTTGAGGCTGTAGGTGTCTTTGGTTTCCCTATGCCAACGACAAAAAGAAAATGCATTTTCTTTCATCAATTTGTTTAGCTTTTGTTTCCATGATAGATGTCCAGGTCTTATCTTATGCTCAAATTTGTGACAAACTTATTTTATGTCACATTGTATGCTATACTGTCAAGCATGCTTGTTTGTGTTGTCATATTGGAACAGACTCACCGACGATTTTGCTCAACTTTGTGATTAAACTGCACAAAATATTTCCCTCTGTATGCCCATATATATATATGGAAAGGTGTAAAACAAGACAGATTTTATGAAAGCTGAAGAATTACATGACACCAAGTATTAAAACTTCAATTTCACCATGTGTCAAAACTTGTACTCGCATGACAGCTCTCAGAAGTACAAGGGTATTTGAATGCAGATAGGTGAAGTAACATTTTTTTCCAATAAAGCTGTTCAAGCTATTCTTCATTTACTGACATCAACACTTAACTTGTAACCTCTTCTTACCCAGTATTCTTTACTGAAAGTAATAGGAAGTAAGGAATTGCTATCATCTCACCTCATCTTTATCTGCTTCTTCATCCACTTCATATAAGTGAACTGGAAGCTTCTCGGGTTTTGCCCCTTTACTAAGAAAGAAAAAGCTTCTATAATACTAGAATTTTTGTGATTAGTTACATATTTTATAGCTGCAAAAATAAAGATGTTATTTTCCTAACTGAAGAGGAAAAAAGCATAAGAATAACTGAATAAAAGAACGTATTTTTTATTAAATGTATTTCTTAGCAATTTTTCCAATTTGCACATCTAGGCACAGTCTTTTTTTCTGCTTGTCACTGTCCTTATGTCTAACTGGAGAGAACCAAACGCCCTCTCATTCACTGCATTCCAAACACCTCAGGAGCAAGAATTCATACCTCTAGCCATTGTCTCCTTTTAGGACAATGTGTTTATTTAAAATCCTCTTGACTAGTGTGGTTTCCATTCATGTTCAGGGCAAGTAAAAACCAGATATTGACTTTTACAAAACCTGTGAGTATATCAGAACTTTCCACAGGCAAAGCAAGCTATTTCTTAACTGATAGATGCAGAAGAGTACGTAGGAAAGACATAGATCTTCCAGAGCTATGGGATTCAGGGATATTCAGACACTCTCAGATATTTTAAGTTAAGGGTCTAATTTCTATACTCTCCCTATAAAATTCTGGAAAAGTCAGAAAAGATTTCTCTAGCAGATGGTTTAGAAAGTCTGTAAGAGATGTGGACTAGGCTTTTACTTTGAATTATCTTGTCAAAATCTGCACGAGTTCAAACATTTGCTCTAAACATCTCAGTTAGGTTTGATTCCCTAAACTACTAAAGAGATTTGCAAAAGCTACCTTTGAAGCTACAAAAACAGGATATCACCATTTTAGTTTCATCTAAACATTTGCCTGTTTTAGTTACAATACTTCTATTCACATTGTTGGTGATACCATTTCTTGTTTTGATCTGCCTCTTAATAAGGCATTGTTAAAACACTATCTTTCCAGAAAATGGTTTAACAAGAATTTGCACCTTCAAGTTCACCAATATAAATGCCCATTCCAAAAATCCTGACCATGTCTACTGACTATTAAACATTGATATAACATATTTCAACTTACGTATTGCATGTATTAATAGGTTTCTGTAATACATTTATATTAAATCCTGTTAGATTTCCTTCACAAATTCAAAATCTTTATTATACCACTAGATAACATACTTACTTTGGAAGCTGTCGAAAGTCTCCCGAGTAATCTTCATATCTATAGTTAACAACATGCCAGTCTGAGTTGTAGGTTTTAATGCACTGTTTTAAGAAAAAACAAATATCAGTATTAATTGGAAGAGGATTAACAGCGTTCCCTAGACAGACACACAAAAGAAACCTTTCAAGACTTGGCTGTTCACCCACTACTATGATTACCTGCTGATCTCTGAGAATTCTGTACACTTCCCTTCTTTTGCAATACAATCTAGTGTAATACAGCTTTTTGCAACAAGTGATGAGTTTCAATATGACATTATCAACTGCTAGAAGTGTATCTTATAAAACCATAAAATATGAACACACTCAGCATCTGGATTAACCACGTTCAGTTGTCTGAAAAAATTAAAGCAGCATTTCCCTGCAGCTGAAAATGACCGAGCCTTTAGAAAAACTCAGAATTAAAATAGATGCATTATAGAATAGAATATTCAGTTTTGCACTTACCAGATACAAAAACTAAGAAACTAGAACTATTTTTTCCTTATATTTATACCTCTAGCACAATTAATGTTTAAAATACATGCTTACAGCTGCTAAAAAGCAATTATGTCATTAAGCTGTGGTCTAGATCACAGGAAATACCATTTTACTCCACCCATATTGCTACATCACAACAGTACCAATTTATCTTGGCTTTGACCAAAGTAACATAAAACTGACAAAATCTATTGCCAGAAACTATCCAATATAAAATTTTATATGTTACATGAATAGACTTGCATATACACAAACACAGCATCTAATAATTCAAAAATATTTTCTTTGTATTTTAGAATAGAAATTTAATATTTGCCAAGCAATTATTTCTGCAGAAACTCATTAAAATTCTCGAGTTACCTATAACACTTCTCCTTCCTTGCTACCTTCTTCAAATTTATGTTAAAACTATTTAGGTTATATATTAAGGGTATGCGTCACTGTTGATAAATCACTTTCAGGTAGATCCAGCTGTTTGGAGCTCATTTGTTTTCCTTGGAATTGCAGGACATTTACTTGTTTCAGATGTACAAATATCCGCTTAAAGTATACCAGTAGAAAACCAGTAGATAATATACAAGACACAAAACCTGTAAACCTTTCATTCTAAAGGGCTTCAACAGGACACTAAATAAAATGCAACATCACAGTCAGATCGAAGGGAATGCTAACAGAAGAAAGTAGTTATGAGAAACTTTAGGTTTGAGGATGTTTCTTCTACATATAGCATACGAATTGAGCAGTCATAATGAATTTTGGCCTCTACAAGTGTTATAGTTATGAACGTCTCTTGCAACAAACTATACAAGATTTTTATGAACAAACTAAGAACAACTGATGTGAAGCACTTTATCAGGAAAACCAAGTCACAACAACTTACTCCAGATTCACTATTGCTCCCAATATTATGTGTAAAAATCACATGTGTTCATCTGGGAAAGCCAAAAGCATGAAGAAGGTGGGGGAGAAGCATCTGCAAAAGCCAATTGCACAAAGAAAATAATTCAAAGTTGTCTTATAATCCTCCATTTCCAGCCACCAATGGCGAAAAATACTATGCTTTCCTGGAAATTTTTCCTTGAAACCCCTGACAAATAATTGGCAATAATATTTAATATTATTTTCAGGGCTTTTGTCCCTGTTTTTTAAATGGTAAACAAAGCAGAAGAAAAACAGTTCAGCTACAGCCAGCCACATGCAAATCCAGTATTACCTCAGTTACAAACAAGCTTTGTGCTTCCTTCTCTGCATTTTCAGGAACTGTTGAACGAATGTATCGACTCTGCCGCTTCAGTAACGCTGTCTGATAAACAACAAACACAATTAATCAAACTTGCAATTAAAGATGATACATTATGGTAACACTCAGCTGCATCACCATCACTAAGATGGAAGCTCAGGAGAAAACATCTGGTGAATGTTTCAGAAGAGTCAATTAATGAGAACTTGCTTTCATTTGAAGATTAGCAATGTGTTCTTCCACAGCAAGGGCAAAGCTGTAATCATGGAGAGAGAGATGCCACTGAAAAGCATTTGCTTCTGTTCTATTAACACAGGCAAGAAAATGCTAGTAAAAATGATTCCACCATGACACTGTAACGCCAGTATTTTGAAGACAGATGTTAAGGTAGCATTATTAGTACAGATAAAAACTAATTCTCAGAATTCCTGCAAAATAGCAGTGGGATAGCTTTGTAATGGCATATTTCATTTGGGTTGGAATGTACCAACATTGTACTTGCTACAAGCATACTTACCCTGTATTGGGATAAATATTTCCTAGAAGAAGGGTGCTAGTACTCAGAATTTACGTACTTTGAAATAAAAGCATTTAGACACAAGCTGTCTTATTGCAAAGCAATCACTAGCATACTTTTGGGATAAGAATTCTTTTAATAATTCACCTAATATGCAGCTAATCACCAATTTTGCAGTTACTTAGCATATGCTTTTCATACTACCCATGAAGGTAGTCTTTTTTAAACCAAGGCTATTTACTTATGAAGCCATTTCATTATTGAATAAGTTACTGAAATTCAGGTGAGTTGGAATAATTATAGAAAGCTATGAAGAGACACAAAATTGGATACAAGAGTACCCAGTAGATATAAGGCTATGACAGAGAAGACTCTTTCTTCTTGGCAAGAGTCTAGAAGAGTACAGCCTTGAATGACTGACAGCATTGTAGTTGAGAGTAGCAAGAACATTAATAGATGTTCCAATGGGTGGTGGGAAGGGGTTCTATCATCTTAAACATACTACATGGTGCCAGAATGAAAACCTAGCGATGACAAAAAAAAACAGCTAGAAATGAACAGATTAAAAAGCACAAAGGTATTGTAGGTTTAGACAGTCCAGTCATGAAGAATTAAAGTAAACTCAGTGTTGCTACAATAAAGAGGCTCTCCAAACAGAACATGACTGCCCCTAAAAACCTGATGAGAATAAGTAAGGGAATAACCTGATTAGTAAATTCAGTGCAGAAAACAGAGCTTGTGAAAAAGCAACTATCTTGAAGTGGTAAAAAACAAAATTTGAAAAATTCAATTGAAAAATGACCCAGTATGTGGGAGAAAGTTACTGATAAAGAGCTCTTTTGTAAACTATAGAAAAGCATGCCATTATTTGGATATAAGATCATTAAGAAAAACACAGAAACACAAAAGAAAGAAAAAAATTATAAGCCTACTAATTTAGATTTGAAGATCACCACAAAGCAGGACAAAAATCATACTTTACTAAAAGTAAGTGAGCTGCTACCAAGCACATAAAATGAGAGAAAACAAGACTCATAACTCCAGGTAACCAAGTTCAGGATGATGGCAAATGCAGCTAAGTGGAAATCTGGAAAGATCCATGTAATTAGATCAGCTAGATGAAGAACGATCCTTCAACCTTTATAAGATTTCCCAGAGCTGAGCATTTTCTGTTCCATCCTTGCTCAAATATTTCTTTGGTAGTGGTTTGAGCTCAGAGCTACCTCTGACAGCATATTTGGAGAAGAGTCACAGCTGAACACAAGTAGGTGACTTAGTGGGTTTTCTTCCTTTCCCTCAGTAGGAAAATAACTTTCATCAGGAAAAGGGAAAAAAAAAGGAAAATGAGGGAGGAAACAGGAAGGAGGAAAAAGAAGTAAAGAAAAGACAAGGAGGAAAGAAAAGGCCAGAAAAGCAGGAAAGAAAAGAAAATAAAAGAAAGCTTTAGGTGGTCCAAAGAAGCCAGTTGCTGTGCAGCCTTTCTTTTCTGATATGGACTAACAGTTCATACCAGCTCTCCTTTAATATCTAGCTTCTCTGAAGTGGCAAGTTACAAACTGAACACAGCACTGACCATGAATGACTACAGAATAAGACATTGAAACATTTGTTACAAAAATCTTGCCTCTAAATTCCTGCAAGCAATTATATAAACACCCCATCTGATTACTTTTCAGTTATCTAACTGCATTACCTGAAAAAAAAAAAAAGTTATCCAAATTAAGCACAAGCATTTGTCTCAAATTTCTCCCAAAGTAATTTCAACTTTAGCACATATTTAACAGTGATGTCAGTTTGCCTCTTTGAAACTACTCCTAACTGAAAACTGTAGAAGTGCTATCTAGTGCTGAGAAGTAAATATTTTCTGTACCATTTGAAGTGCTAGCTTTAGGGCCGTGCTGGTAACAAAACAGCCTTACTCTTAATGTCTCTATAAACGAACAGGGCTTGGCTTCCTTTTTAGGCAAGTGTTTTGTAGATTGTAATCAGTTTACCCGAAGCACAAAGAAAAACTCCTGTAAAGAACTGAATGCTCTAAGAGGAAATGGCTTGAGCAGGTTTTTAGACAATGGTAGGAGTTCCCACCTATAAACTGTTCTAAATGTCTATACAGGTAATTCAAAATACCCTAGCTCACTCTTGTAAATTCATCTTGTGGGGAATGGGGGATGAGGGCAGTATCAAACATTTGAGCAGAGGCTTACCAAGAGCTCCCCACACACTATGTGCCCACAACAAATTAGGAAAAAGGAATTAAGAGAAACCACATGTGAAGCAGAATGGCTTCACTCAGTGCATAAGGAATTGGCTGGATGGCTGCACTCAAGGAGCTGCAGTCAATGGCTCAATGCTCAAGTGGAGACCATCAACAAGTGGTGCTCCTCAGGTATTGGTACTGTGACCAGTGCTGTTTAACATCTTTGTCAGGACACAGAGTGGAATTGAGAGCACCCTCAGTGATTTTATGGACAGCACCAAGCTGTGTGGTGCTGTCAACAAGCTGGAGGGAAGGGCCCAGGTCAACCTCATGAAGCTCAACAAGGCCAAGTGCAAGGTCCTGCAGCTGGGTCAGGGCAATCCCAAGAACAAATACAGGCTGGACGGAGTATGGACTGAGAACAGTCTTGAGGAGAAAGACCTGGGGATGCTGGTTGATGAAAAGCTGAACATGAGCCAAGAACATGAGTAGAGCCCAGAAAGACAACCATATCCTGGGCTGCATCAAAAAAACTGTGGCTAGTAGATACAGGGAGGTGGTTTTGTGAGACACCACCTGGAGTACAACATCCAGCTCTGGAGCCCCCAGCACAAGCAGGACATGGACCTGTTGGAGCAGGCCCAGAGGAAGGCCACAAAGATGATCAGAAGGCTGAAGCACCTCTCCTATGAGGACAGTCTGAGAGTTAAGGTTGTTCAGCCTGGAGAAGAGAAGGCTCCAGGGAGATCTTACTGGGGTCTTCTAGTATCTGAAGGGGGCCTACAAGAAAGCTGGGAAGAGACTTTTTACAAGAGCTTGTAGTATGAGGAGGGGTTAACGTCTTCAAATTGGAAGGACATAGAATTAGATTAGAAATGAGGAAGAAGTTTTTCACTATGAGGATGGTGGGACACTGGAGCAGGTTGCCCAGGGAAGCTGTGGATGCTCCATCACTGGAGGTGTTCAAGGCCAGGTTAGATGGGGCTTTGAATAACCTGGTCTAGTGGGAGGTTTCCCTGCCCATGGCAGGGGGATTGGCACTAGATCATCTTTAAGGCCCCTTCCAACCCAAACCATTCTACAATTCTATGATTTAAATGATTCAAATTGTATTGGCAACCATAAGAAAACTACTGGTTTCAGAACTCTACATGTGATTACAGAAAACTGCGTAGGGTTAAAAGGTTTAACTTGAAAAAAAATCACGTAAGGCGTTTCTGTTCTCTGAATTTATAACAGTTTCTTAATACACTCAATGACAGATTTAAATGCATTGAGTTGCTGAAAACAAGCTAGATAGCTCAAAGCAGTGTTGGAGAATCATGTGTACAATAAAAATATTTGGACAAAGTTCATGCCAGCAAATCTTAGACAGAAATAAAAGTTTGATAGCATAATAATAAAGTTTGATAGTACAAATCAGTCTTCATATAAATCAAGTATAAAATGAGACCGTGCCAAAGACTATACAGGGAAAATCCAGAAAATGGATTCAGATATTACACTGCTGAGGTACAAAGAAACAAGAGATCTGACCATATTCCAAAACTGTGACTACCTGAAAGAAAACCTCTGATATAGCAAACACTTTAATGATCTCCTCTTTGAAAACTGGACCACAGAATCCAAACAAAAGATAGCAAAAAGGCATTACAGTTTGGGAACAAAATTCAGCCACCCCCTTTAAAGGATGAGACAGAGCTCTGTACTAGCTTCGGTCATGCAGGTCTGAGGTGAAGAACTGCAGACAGGTCTGACAATGCCTGAGGATATTCTTGACAAATCTGTTTCTTCTCCATTGATAATTCAGAGCTGTTCACTAGAATGACCCCCAGTAAGTGAATTGGTCAATTATATAGGAGTATGCTCCGCAGAAGTATCCTTGATTCCTCTTGCTCTGCAATACTGAAGAGCCACACTGTAGAAGGGGATCTGGGTGGTATTATAACCTGCTCATGCTCTTCAGTCCCAAAGCCAATACCTGATGTAGGACATCATGAGTGCTCTAGCATTCGAACACTAGTATCATTAGATAATGGTCACAAACACTACAACTTCCTTTTGTAAGATGTCTCACCCTGAAGTCCTTTAAATTTTAACACGTGGCTGAGAACACAAGAAGCCCAAACTACTCTCTAAATACCTGTGGCTTGCTAAAACCAAAATTTTTTAGCTCAGAGTGGGAAGGCTACAAGTAGAGTTATTCATCTAAGAATCAGTGAGAATCAGACTACATTAAGAACAGAGTCCAGCTACACTCAGGTAAATACTTTAAAAGGCCAGAGAGAATTCATTAGACTCAACAGATGCAGTTTATGGGACTTCATAAACCTTCTGTAGAAATACACCAACCTATCAGCAGCTTTCCCCACAATAAACAAACTTAGCTTCAACTACTTTGTTGAATAAGGTGCACAGCTTTTGAGGTAGGTTTTTACAGAGCAATTCTAAGGTATTTAACTGTGACACAGTCCCTAGAAGTAACTAATTTACAGACAGTTCAGATGCCTGCTTACTTTTGAAATAGAGGTGGATATTTTGACTGCAGGTATGGGCGTGTGTGAGAAACTCTCCTCACTGGTTCCAACACTAAACTCCAGTGTCTGTTTGGGACTTATCCTAACTGGATCTACAACAATATTCAAAAAAGTGTATTTAAACTAATTATTTAGATAAACACAGTTATTTTATAGAAATATATCAAGATGATCACAAATCTTGGTTAAGTCTGGCTTAATGACGTCACAGCCCTGTTATGCAGGGGATATTCTGGAAAAACCCAGCTTTGCCTGGTAAGACACAGCTGAAAGTAACAGCTTCCACTGGAGCAAGTTCATGACCTTAACTGTTAAGAAGAGGGCCAGGGGGACCAATTTAAGAATTAAAACACAAAAAGCAGAGGCTTTTTTTGAACAAACATCACATGATTTCCTATATCAAAAAGGGGGGGAAATATAAAAAAATGACTCATCAACTACTTCAAAAGGCAGTAAAATTGCTGAGTTGCAGAATTAGGCATTAGAATCTGAAGAGATTAAGAAATTGTACTATTTCTTCTTCTGCAACCTGACAGTTGTAATTAAGCAGTGTAAAGGGACTCATGGCAAAGTTGTTGTTTTCTTTTTTATTATTATTTTTTAGCTAAAGATAATTAAAACACAAAGATATGCAAAGTTATCATTTCCTGACTACTACTGCTAAAAATTGGTCTTACCAAGGAAAAAAACAAAACAAAACAAAAAAAAAACCAAACCAACAAACAAAAAAAAAACACACACCAAAAAAATACGAAAAAAAAAAAAAAAAAAAAAAAAAAAAAAAAAAAAAAAAAAAAGACAGGAAAACTAAATTACCTGGAAGTCATCATAAGGGAACAGTAGCATCTCACGTAAAGCATCATTCAAAATCTGTGTTTTCCTCTGAACGATGACATTTTCATAGTCTATTGGTTCTATGACCTTTGGTTTTGCCTAGAAAAAAAAAAAAAAAAAAAACAAATAAATTCAGGAATACTGAGGAAAAATTACAATTGTTGACTCACTTTAAGAAATTACTCTTAGAAAAGTTGGCAGAATGAGATTTCATCTACATCAAACAGCGTATTCAAAATGCAGAATTTATGTGACACTATATCAACTGGATAAGTGCAACTGGTAATTGCAACTAATAATTACAGACAGGCGTGCTATTTCCCTCAGAAGGAAGAAATAGCTATTTCACAAAACACACCAAGCCAGAGTTTATCAGAATAATCATGTATGTAATTTCCTTGAAAAAAAGAATTATAAAGAAATGACTAGTGTCTTATATTGGTGGTTACCTTTGCTTGATAGTGCCCAGAAAGCTCTGATCTGGGTTTATCAGGGATTGTAATATTCTTAATTCAAAACTAAGACTGATCTTTGTTTTAATTCAATAATTCAGTAGTAGCATGCCATAGAGGTGGGCTAATCGACACTCCTCCTTCTCTACAGGTCTTACAAAATTCCCACAGGCCATTTACCTCCTCTGAATTGCACGAGTAGCTTTCACCAGTTACCACAGATTGATTCAACTTTTAAACCCTATCCTGCTGTCAAGACACAGCAGCTGGCTGTGCACAACCAGGCAGAGAAGAACCTTCCCCCTGCCAAGCCCACCCTGAAGTGGTCAGATGGCAAAGCAGGGTTAGAGAGCTCTCAGTGGGGCAGCACTGCCTCGGAGTGTGCAAGCCAATGCAAACCTGGAATTATAACCTAGCTTGCACTTTCTGCAATTAAAATTGTGCATCATAGTATCAGACAAAATTACCTTTTTCTCCGCAATTACAAGGGACTTTCCAATTGATACTTTAAGATCAGTGGTATCAAAGTAAGGTATGCTAAACACAACAATAGCCATTATTATAGGTGATCAGACAAGTTTTAGATATATTTTTGCTTAACTTACATTAATAACCTTTCAAATTCCACCTGTATTATGCAGAATAAATCTTTATGTCTAGCACTAACTGTTATTAATTATTTGCATATTGATAGTATTCCTGAGAAATGTTACATGTTTTTCTCATCCAGAAGTGAACCAAATAAATTTGTTTTTCAAGGAATTAGGAAGGCTTTAGTCAGAGAAAGGTACCAAAGTTTCCAGGGTCATTTCATAGGTTACTGAAGTTACTTAAAGTTCCTACTCCACAGCAGTTTTACTTTTAAGAAAAATGTAAGAACATAACAGAACATAACAGCTAAAAGGCAAAAAAAAACCGAAATCTGGAAAACAAATCTAGAAAAAATTATGAACAAAATGTAACTTTGTCAACACAAATATCTACCATTTACAATCACACTGGAAGGATTTAGTAAAAGTTCATAAGCTATCTAACAACGTGCTCAGCACAGACCCATGCAGCTAGGAGCCACAGCAGAAAATGATTATGTTGAGTTTGTCATCTTTCTCCTCAGATGAGGAGGACAGTTGTTCAGTCCACCATATATTGTACCCCAAAATATTTTGAGGGCTTAGCACCTGAACCACAGCTGCTGTTACATATTTTCCTCTTGTTCCTGAACACAGCTTATCACAAAGCCAAGTATTAACACCAGTGGCCATCAGAAAAGGTAGAAATTTATATTCATGTACCCATCTGCAGCTGAAGTGGTTGGACCATTTAGCTCAAAAAAGCATAAGAGAAGCACGTAAGCACAACATAAGCAAAGTTTATATTTTCTCTAAGGTACTAATTTTAGAAAATATTCTGGTGACAAGAAAACTTCCTGTTAAGTTTGCCTTGAGCATTCAGACTGCTGCCATAAATCCCAGACTGCTGTGTGCTCCAGGCTTCCTTAGCATGCTAGAAGGCCAGATGCACCTTCTTCAACCAGCTACTTGACACACACCGTAGGTACAGGCTCTACCAAAGTACAGCTTCACAAGATTTCAGGCTGAGTAGCCCCATTGTGCAAATTGTAAAAACCAGTTCTGATTCCAGTGAAACTCCAGTAAGTTCATCTACTCTCTCCAACTCTTCACCAAGGCAGTAACTGTCCAGTACAGATTCTCCTCCTTAAGCACATGAGACAGTAGCATGAAGAGCCCATCAAACTTTACTGCTCTGCAAATGACAACACATCATTCAGAAAGCAAGACACCTTTTGCTCACCTTTCTCCCACTTCAATCTCAATAACAGGTCTCTTTCTAACTACCCAGGCAAGCAAGGTGCTCACCTGTCAACCACTGAGCTGGAGCTCTTGCACAGTACACTCTAAGTTAAAACAAGGTTTAGAGACTACTGCAGTGCTATGGCCAAGTCACTCTCCACTTGGTCAAGTCTGCCTTTACCACATGACTCCTCCTTCTGAGCAGTCTGTCAGGAGAAATGACACACAATGTGCTGCAGCAATAGGTTGATTTGAGTGTGAGGCAGGATGACTGACCTTTGGGAGAAACAAATAAATGTTCCAAATTAAACTAGGTCTAAGAAACAAGTAGGAGGGAAAGACCACCTGAGTTCTGCACACAATCAGTCTCTTCTGTTAGCTAAAGATTTAGCTTCACAATTGGCTTAAATTAATTGAAAAGAGGACTGACACTAGGACACTCTCGTGGCACATTCCTGAGCCTTCTCACACTAGTACCAGCAACGAAAGTCGTATTCAGAGACAGATTAGGTGGTGATCTGGCTTTAGAGGGTTCCTCCCAGTCAGAAAGCTTTCAGCCAGATTGGCTCTCTGAACTGCTGATCAGGTGGCTGCATCACCACTGGTGCTAATAGATGGGAGCTGACAGGACCTTTTCAGATGCAGGAGATCCAGATGATTAAACAGAACATGAAACTCTGTCCTCACTAAAAGCTGTTGCAAAAACATTTTTAAATTCTGCTGCTCAGCTTCAGTGCAGCTCACAATTTTTAAAATGTCCTTAAACTAAATTATTCAGGCCGCATATTTTAAGATGCTTAGAAAGCTATTTGGGATGCCTTTTAAAGAAGAAACGTATACATGGTCAGAGTCAGGAAGTTCATGTATCAGGACATCCACTGTCTGAACCAGCAAGCAGGCAGACCACAGTACCAACTCCACTAACTAGGAGCAAAGGAGAACAGTCACCTGAAACAGGTAATGGACTTTTATGTGGCACTGCACATGAGCAGCATTTACATCCTTTTCTCCTGGTGCTGAAAAGCTACATCCATCCTCCTGTTAAGTCTCTTGGGAAGGTGATAGGTGAAGCCTGGAAGAAAGCTAGCTCTGGCTCCTCTCATTTTACCAGGAAAAAACAAAGAGAAGTATTACTCTTAAAAACAGAATGACTAAAGTTATTTTATGTGTGCACACACAAAACATCACCTCTATAGCACAGCTAATCCAAAACCTAAAGATACATACACACTGCAACTTCAAGAAAGCATCCAATTCATTGCAGATACATGTCTCCTATAGTCACAAAACAGGTCCACTGCAACCACAGAATGGATTTTAGAAGAACCTTAAAAGACACCGAGTTTTGCTTATATGCTGTAAACACAAGATTAGAAAAGAATCCTTCCTCCTGAGAAGCTTTTATGGCATCTAAAGCACTCTGGAGCTCAGTTCCTGAGTGTACACCTCTCCTCTAGGCCAATGGTACACAGAGGGAGTCAGTGGTACCAGAAAACCACATCATCTTCCTATCTAATCAGTAGGGTACCCCAGTTGCAGAAATATAATTTCTATAAAAATTAATGAAGAATTTGCTTCCTCAGGTTTCCCCAAAGTGTTGCTCATTTCTTTTTTAGTCATCTGTCAGATTCAAAAGGAAGTGGATGTTTTATCAGTTTGAACCAGATATGAAAAAAAGAAAACAAACAGCACAGGGACGTTGGCCTTTAGCCAAACCTACAACATCACAAGGAAGCAGATTCTCTTTCAAGCTCTTCAGAAAAAAAGATTTTCCGGGCTATTATTTCACGTAATATAAAAGAAAAGATCCTGGGTAGGTATGGTATTGTTGAATATGATTTATGGACCAGCTGACAGATAAAACTCAGCACAGTCAAAACTGCAAAATCAAGTTCACAGGCACTAAAAGTCAATCTTTCAATTAAGGCTTAACTTTTCCCATTAATTTGCAACAAACAACAGTTTTATTGCCATGATCTAAGGAAATGCTAAGAGCATAGAGCTTCATGGGGTCCAGAACTCAAGCTAGCCAATGCTGTGCTTGTAAGAAGATAAAAGAGCCAGTTATCTGCCATACCACTTTGGGTTTTGCCAGTGTATTATAGATAGGGAAATTCCTCAGAAATAAGAAGCATTTCAAAACAGCAGTCATGACGCCCACACAGTAATTTGGACAAGCAGTGTCAAAAGTCATCAGATAAAATGAATTTTAAGTTAGGAGTTCAATCATTGCCTTCATTATATATTACAGAAAAAATAATACAGTACAATTTTTTTCTTTTATGCTTAAATTGAGACAAATATTATCTTCCTCTTGTCTTCTCACAAAACAAAGGATGGTCAGGTTAGACACACTGAGTACTGGTAGCCTCATGCCCCAAAATATAATTTACCTTATAAAAACTTATACAGTACACACAAACTAACAAGTCCCCATAAAGAGGAGAATGGAGCTTCTAGCACTAGCAGCCAACACAACATAAAAATTGATGAATATAGGATGTTATGTATATCTCAACGTTGGCCTGAGGCACGCCACTTTAGAAAGATAGTAAGACCACTTAATCCCAAACATTGGTAACATCTCCCTGTATCTTACTGTCCCACAACCACAATAAACCCAAAAAACATTGCCCAGGTTGGGTTATTTTTGAATCAACTTTAAAATCTATTTTAAAGAATTAGACATATCTATGAGTATTTCTTAAATATTACACTACTCATTATCTCCCTTCTTAGGTATAGTTAACATTGTCTTGTAAATGCTGGGAGGGAATAAGCTGCTATACATTTATGTAAAAAACTGCTACTCCGCACATATTCAGCAACAATATACTCTCATTGACAAATTCAAAACTTTTCAGTCTCTAGGACCTGAAACAATGAAATGCACTAAGTCAAACTGTTTCCATGCTTACAGATGAGAAGTGCTTGCCATGGCTGCAAACATGAAGTGAGCCATAGAAGAGTAGACAGTTATAGAGGCTTTTTTGCACAGTGTTTCTTTGGGAGAAAAAACAAACCAAAAAAAACCACTACACACAGCACCCAACCCTTCTTCCCCCCCAGCCGAGTTTAACTTGAAAGCCTGAAAACTCTTGTCCTATTATTCACCCAAGTCATAAGGGGCCCCACAAAAGAATAGAAAGGTAGTTTCCAAAACTCGGCAAACACTTTCTAAATTTCAAAGCATTGTGCTTTTATTTATAAGAAGTATTTCATTGATGGTCAAGGTCCATTTAAACACAACACCACTTTGCAGAGCTCAGACATTTTGATAAGACTTTCTGTACTGCCAGTGTTTACCTCAGGTTGTTAATAAGGGTGCAGTTCCAGATGTTTAATTCTGTTCTCCTCAATGATTTGATTTGCCATCAGACACCCTGTAAGCACCCTGTGTCCTGTGAAGTTCTCTTACCAGCACAGAAACATCTAACCCTAGAATCAGACTTGGGCAATGCTCTGCTGGACAGAGGAGCTCTGGTGTCTTACTTTTCATGCTGACAGTGTGCTTCCAAGCAGCAAGCTGGCATCCAGAAGTTATAACTTCCCAGAAATTTAGCTGCTTATCAAAGCAGATTACTAGTTCTGACTATCAAAATGTAACTGGACAGCACATGTACTAATTTGGGAACTTCTACAACAGCTAGCAGAACAGCAGTTCATCCCAAGTAAGGTTCTAAGGCACCACCTGGAAAATCTAAACACTTTTTCTATGGGCTCTTCTTGCTTAACCTCAAAAGTAAAGTCATGACACAATCTAACTGAAATGATAGGAAAACAAGAGAGCACACATACTAACATCCTGGCACCAAAAACAGCAGATGACTCCTTTTGTGAACCTACCCACCCATCCAGGAAAAGTTAACTCAGGCACAGCACTCAAATAACATTGTTTCAGTATCACAAGGGATGCTTAAGGTTATAAAAACTCAGTTACCTCAACACTCCAGCAGATTCTCTGTGAACTACATTTAAAAGAATAAAATGAATATCACAAAAAACTTGTGGCTTCCTTGAAGCCCTGATAGCTAATGCTGTCTGATCTTTACAAAGAATGCTCAAAAAACTCCGAGTGCACTACTAGAATAAATCAGAAGCTTCCTATATCAAATGTTTTTGAAGATTGCTATCTAACATAACTCTAAGTTTTCTAATCCAGAAAAAAAAGTTCTGCTGTTTACATTTTGTTACACCAACCAGCAACATCATCAGTCTCACTTACTACCTTAATGCACCCCGTACCAGTGAGAAAGTACCTACTCCCACTAAGGCAGTAAACATCTACTGCAGCTTTTCAACCCAATGAAATAAAAAGGGACACAAACGTGGACGTTAAATGAAACACAGGGTCGTACTTTTTCTTCATGTCTGGTAGTAGACTTAGTGCAAAATGTCCTTGCACCATTTCATCTAGTTTTTCCTCAATAAACTACACAAAAGCAGAAGCAAAAAGCGATATCGCACCATCTATAATTATATGCCATGTATATGCTGGTCTATATATGTAAGAGATTAAGACCAAAAATAGCAGCTGAATGACAGCCAAGACATTTTTTATGTGACCTCTGTGGAACCTAAATACTCTTCCCTTGAAATATTCACCTTTGTTTTGAATGCAGCTATTTTATCTGAAGATAAAAAAAAAAAGGAGGGCAAACACTGGAGGTATATTAAACCCTGAACATTAAGAAAATTATAAGGATATAGTTCATAAGTCGTTACAAGTAAAGCCAGTAATGTTTTATACTTTTGAGTAAGCCAGAGGCTCGCTGATCAGCTGCAGTACGGGTAAGTATTTGCAGAAACACTAATATCCTCTCCGAGTAGTCACGGGGGAATAAAAACAGTTCTAAATAAAGTTAAACATTCCAAAGGCAGGAAAGCACACACAAGATTAGCTCATATTGTACTGATGAAAATCTGGACCAGAAATCAGAACACACCCATACAAAAAAAATCCCACGTTTTACTAACAACTTTGCTGAATGGAACGAAACCAAAGAAAACAGTGTAAAGGAGAAGAAAATTTGTCTAACGCACATGTAAGCTTTCAGTTACATACAGTAACAATTCCCATAAAGTTACAAAGTTACATGGTTTAGTTCAATTCTAAAATGTGTAGCATGAAGCTCAGATCAGGGGGGAGTGGCGGTGGGGGCAGGGAGAAGAGACACACAACTCTGTAATTTAAGTATCACAGCTCCCACCAACTTCAACTACAGCCAGACAAATAAAGAGAAGACTGTAATCTTTTAATTCAGCAATTAAGGATGAGATATTACTAAGTAAAACTGGAAATTTAATAAGAATTATCAAAGTACTTCTTTTGACTGATATATAAGTTATTAGTTTAACAAGCCTCCTCTGTTATTTGAAAAGGTCTATTGTCCTGCCTGGAGAGAGTTGGTGGACTCATTACAGCTTGCTTATTATGTTCTCGTGCTGTACTATTAAAATTCCAACAGAACTAAGTGTGTAGCAATATATTAAAAAAAAAAAAAAGTTATTTGATTGCTTCACCCACATGCATAAATATTCTCTTTTCCTTCACTGGAAGTTACTTTAAAACTTTATGTTCCTAAATAACGTGCATTGAAGGCACTGAAAAACAGACCCTTTAACAGAAGAACACCTGAATTTAGACAGTTCTTAGAACATTTGAATAAAATTTAACCATTGTGCACACAGTCTTTAGAGCATTCAAACGTTTTAACTGAAAGACATGCTAGGCAGTTAAAAAAAAAAACAGAGGTGCTAGAATTTATTTTAAATCCTAAGTAGTTTTCCTGGTAGGTTCAAAGAGCTGTACAGCTATGTTGGACAAAGCACACACTGAAAAGCAGCTCATACGGAAACTGAATTCCAAAGTCACACTCAGAAACCAAAGATTTGGTAAACCAGGACAAAGCAAATTTAATTAAGAAGGCAGACAACACACAGAGAATGAAACCTCAATCTTCATCACACCTTCTTCACAAGTAAAAATGCTAGAACTTCTCATCAGTGTCAGATTAAGCAATTTTTCCACTGGCAGACAGAAGTGGAACTATTAAAGGGAAGAGACAGCTGGTTTAAACAATTCTTACCAGCACTACCACAGGACTCTCCTCTTCTGCTTCACAAGGACCTGCATCCTTACGCTGCTGCAGAGGCTCTATAACAAGCTCTTTCTTAGGATTTCTGTTTGTTCTTGCCTGCATTCTTTGACTGTAAATACAAACAGCAGCAAACCCCTGTGCTTTTTGGCATCAGAGGAAACAACATGCCAGTGATCCAGTGAAAACAGTCACTTTTTCCCCAGCACAAGCAGCAGAAAGTACAAACTAGCCTAACTTCTCAGCTGCAGCTTGCTACGTCTGTGAGGGTGGGAATGCATGACAGACAAAGGCCAGCCCCTGCGCGGGCTGTATTCCTCTGGAAAAAAAAAGTAAATAAAAAAAAAAGGTGGATCCATTTTAATGCCTTACGATTATGAGTCAAACACAAAAGAGAATGTGCATTTCTAAAACGACCGTGTAAAACAGTCCAAGTCTTTTACAGCACTCATCAAATCAAAGCTTTAATACTTTTTATTGTAAATATCAGCCACTTTTTGACAATTAGGCCTTTTTAGAAGTAAAAAATAATGCCAGTGTTACTTTTTTTTTTTTTAATATCACTTACTCAGGTACTATCAACCAACAGCCACTAAGCAAGTATATTGTCCAGTACCAATGCCTCAGACAGATACGTTGCTCTTTTTGAGGGGTAGGGTGGGGATACTTTTTAATCTTAGTGCTAAATCCACATTAAAAATCTACCATAATGTCAAATTCTCTTCACAGTAAAAATCTTGTAGACTTTGCAAAAATACTAACTCAAAAATTTTTAAAATCTTTATATACCTTCAGTTGTGAAGCACTTAACTCTTCCAGTAAACTACCAGTCTCCCTCAGCCTCGCTCCTCACTTGAGCCAGCTAGCTCACTCTTCTCTTACAGAGTTACAGAATCACAGAATGTTAAGGGTTGGAAGAGACCTCGAAAGATCATCTAGTCCAAGCCCCTGCCAGAGCAGAGCCACCTAGAACAGGTCACATAGGAAAACATGTCCAGCTAGGCTTTAAATGTCTCCAGAGAAGGAGACTGCACAACCCTTCTGTGCAGCCTGTTCCAGGGCTCTGTCACCCACACTGCGAAAAAGTTTTTCCTTTGGTTTTGCACCCATTGCCCCTTGTCCTACCTTTGACCATCGCAGAGAAGAGCCTGGCTCCACCCTCCTGACACTCGCCCTTTACATATTTATAGACATTAATGAGGTCACCCCTCGGTCTCCTCCAAGCCAAAGAGCCCCGGCTCCCCCAGCCTTGCATCATAAGGGAGATGCTCCACTCCCCTAATCATCTTTGTGGCTCTGTGCTGGACTCTCTCAAGCAGTTTCCTGTCCTCCTTGATCTGAGGGGCCCAGAAATGAACACAATATTCCAGGTGTGGTCTCACCAGGGCAGAGTAGAGGAGGAGGAGAACCTCTTGACCTACCAACCCCACCCCTTCTAATACACCCCAGGATGCCACTGGCCTTCCTGGCCACGAGGGCACATTGCTGGCTCATGGACATCCTGCTGTCCACCAGGACCCCCAGGTCCCTTTCCCCGTGCTCCTCTCTAACAGGTCAGTCCCCAACCTATGCTGGTACCTGGGGTTATCCTTTCCCAGATGCAAGACTCTACACTTGCCCTTGTTGTATTTCATTACATTTCTCCCTGCCCAACTCTGCAGCCCGTTTAGGTCTCTCTGAATGGCAGCACGGCCTTCTGGTGTGTCAGCCACTCCTCCCAGTTTTGTGTCATCAGCAAACCTGGTGACAGTGCACCCTGTTCCCTCATCCAGGACATTGATGAATATATTGAATATGTTACACATTATTAATGCTCTCAGCTCATTCCTCCCTTCTCATAATCCTCCAACATTGTAGATGTCCATCACTGATAACTGAAAAAACCCACTGAGAAAACAACGCAACTAAATCTTCACACATTTTGACTGAAGTCACTTGAGAGAACCTCAGCTCTCCAGCCAGCCAGCACTTGCTGCCTTTGGCTTCCACAGGATTTGGGGTTTGCTAACAGCACAAAACACTGGTCAGGCACCTCCTCTTGTCTTGCAAACAGTTTTCACAAGTGTCTCTTGGCCTCAAGATTCAAGGCTTCACAGTGTTTGTATGCAATCTAGTTGACAATTTTGCTAATTTTGAAGGTTTGACCAAGCCAGCTCCCCCAACCAATAGTTTTAGCATTTGATTGTATGCTGAATTCCACCTGAAAAAAGTAAATTGTGATGAGCGGTTTGCTCCAGGTTTTCAGAGGGGTATTTCGGTTTTCCCTTTGTGTCTTTTTTAACACTAATGAGTTGCCACCTCCAAGTGCACAAATCTCAGCAGCTGTATTTACCATGTAAAAATACATCAGAGAGAAAACTCAACTCCCCCGAGAAGCAAATCCCTATTTTAGACTGACCACGGGAGCAACCAGACAGCTGTGAAAAGTAAGCCACCACCTTCATTCAATTTTCAATTCTTTTCTACTTCTTTGCACAGTTAATTAGCTAGCTTCAATATAACTGACACCCTAAATTTAGCTTGACATGGATTTTTCTCTGTTCTCTAATAGCAAAGAAAGTCACCTTAACCTGCAGAAAGCAGATCAAGTTGCGGAAAACCACAAATATCCTCTTTTATTGCTCATATTTTTAAGAAGGCACAACTTCAGGCACAGTTTTCTTACTCTTCAGAACTAACAAGAGGTTAATAAGCCTTCTCTTCCCCTTCTCTCTGCTCTTGTGCCTGCATAAGCCATTGTTATTTCAGCTTACTACAATGCTGAAATTGAGTTTGACCAAGAGTTTGCCCATTCCAACCACAGCAGAAGCACATTTCTAATGAGTGGACTGAAAGAAATAATAAAATTAACTATTAGTCCAGGCAATAATGATTTACTATGCTGCTTTTTCTCTAGGAAAAACAAGTTCAATGTATTTATACTTTAAGCAGTTATTCTAATATATAGACACAGAACTCTGGAAAACAATATTCAATAAAGCTTCTTTAAGAGTTAAGAAGGAAACCAGCTGTTTAGTCAAATTTACAAAAACATATCTTCCTGTGTAAATCAAGGTAGACAATAGTTCAAGAACATCTAGTTACACTTTACTTGTATTTTGCACCAGCCCCTTTTGTTTTCAGCAAACGGAAGTACAGAACAGCTTAGACTAAATTATACCATTACTTGAGGATGCAGCTGCCAAACAGGAATTTGGTTCATTGAGATGGGCTGTAATTGTACTTAACTGCAATCAGAAACTCACCACGTTATTACACACAATGCACTTGCAAACACACTAATAAAGAATTAAAAATATTATATACTTAAATTAACCAGAAGTAGTCCTGTTTAAACAAAGGATTCCACTTTTAACCTACAACAGTTTCATCCTGGGCAGGTACCTCTCAAATGCATCTGGATCACTTTAATTCAGCATAAATGTGATTTTCTTTCCCCATCATTCTTCCCTATTCTTCTCAAAACACGATGGGGCACAAAAAAAAAGCCAACAAGACAACATTTTTATAACATCAGTTTAAAGATCCTACTGAATGTTAAAGTAATTCCTAGCTTGCATTTCATTAACACACATACACCATTGGAGGAGGTTCTTCTATCTAACAACACCACATGTGAAACAGGACCTCTGGAGCTAAATCCTGCATCAAATAGCCCTTAATTGCTAAATGGATGTGTATTTCACAGAATCATAGAACATTAGGGGTTGGAAGGGACCTCTGGGGATCATCTGGTCCAACCCTCCTGCCAAAGCAGGTTTGCCTAAATGAGGTTGCACAGGAATGTGTGCAGGAGGGTTTTGAAAGTTTCCAGAGAAGAAGACTCTACAACCTCTCTGGGCAGCCTGTTCCAGTGCTCTGTCACTGCCAAAGTAAAAATGTTTTTCCTTATGGTTAGGTGGAAATCCCTCCTGTGTTCCAGTTTGTGCCCACTGGCCCCTGTCCTATCACTGAAAAGAGACTGGCCGCATTCTCTTGACACTCCACCTTTAAATATTTGTAAACATTGATAAGATCCCCTCTTGGTCTTCTCTTCTCCAGGCTAAACAGCACCAGGTCTCTCAGCATTTCCTCACAAGAGAGATGCTCCAGTCCTCTATTCATCATCTTTGTAGCCTTCCAGTGAACTCTGTCCATTAGTTCCCTCTCTCTCTTGGAGAACTCAGATCTGGACACAATATTCCAGCTGGGGCCTCAGTAGGGCAGAGTAGAACCTCCCTTGACCTGCTGATCACACTCTTCTTAATGTACCCCAGGATACCATTTGCCTTCTTGGCCACAAGAGCGCACTGCTGGCTCATGGTTAACTTGTCCACCAGGACTCCTAGATCCTCCTCCACGGAGCTGCTTTCCAGCAGGTCAACCCCTGACCCGTACTGGTGCATGGGGTTATTCCCCCCCAGCTACAGGACTGGGTTATTCCCCCCCAGCTACAGGACTCCACACCTGCCCAATATTTATATGCTTTATATATATATAAATACATCATTTCCAAAATGTATTTTCTGCTGAGGACTTAAGTGATTACCTCAATAATTTAATTTACAAAGAAATCATTATAGGAGAAAAAAAAAAAAAAAAACAAAAAAAAACCACCAAACAACCAAACCATGAGATATTGCTTACCTGAGCACCAGAGAGACAAAAGAGTTAAATGACTTTAATCAAAATCTACATTACAAAATTCTACCTAATACACATTGTGATTCAAAGAGTGAAATATAAAACCCAGGACTTTAAGATATGCTGAAAATTTATCTTGTTGCATGACATGTTATTTTCAAACATTTAAGTGCAATTTAAAAAAATAAATGCTATTTAGTTTATCAGGCAGATACCTGAATAAGGATCAACAGAGAACCCACAAAAACAATGCATGTACGAAAAGAATGTCACTGTACAAAAGTTGTTTGCATTTCCAACATGGCTCCCAAAATTGCAGGAAATTACTAGCTAAATAGAGACCTATCCACAAAATAACTCGGATTATTATGGAAACAATGCATTTAATCTTTTTACAAACACAATTGCTTGAAGGACTTCCCGTGGTACTTCTACCAACAGTACTTTTCATATTACTTCCCACAGGCAAATAGCTGGCTCTT